CAGAGAGAGAGAGAGAGAGAGAGAGAGAGAGAGAGAGAGAGAATGGTTTAAATGTGTAAGCGTGTATGTTTTAAGTGGATTTGTAAGTTGGTGTGAGTTTTTATGAACTTGAAAGATGGAAAGAGGATCGTAGTAAGGGACAGAAAGGAAGAATTAAAGAAAAGGTAAGAATAGATAAATAGAAAAATAGAGGAATATGGGAGGAGAGAGAAAGAGAGAACGACTAGTATTTAATATACTGAGTGAAGAATACAGAAACGGTGCATTAACGTTTTCTTTACACTGGCAAATTAGACCTCTGTGAACCAAGCAAGAGGCGCCAAATGTCAGTTTACTTAAACTCGACAAATACTCAGCAGTTCTGTTACCTTCACAGTCTCTTTACACAGTTACACGCTAGTCGAATGTTTGAAAACTGTAAAAACGGGTGCTGAAACTATATTGACGTAAGTTCTATTGGTACCTTTTTAACAATGCTTAATTAAATTGACAAAATGAGTTACTTCTCGGATTCTTGTTCTATGTAAATACTTCACGCTTATATGTGAAGTTTTTACGATCTATTAGTATGAAATAATAAAAGGCATTTATAGTTAATGGATATAATATGACATCTAGATCTATAGTAAGTCTACAAATTTGACCCTAATGTTGGTTTTTAGTCAATGTCTTCATTTTGGATAGCGAGAAGTAGCTAATTTTGTCAGCACACCCTCTTCCACACTGTAAGTTTATGAAAGAGGTGGGACCTCCGAAGTTAACGTTAAATCTCCGATAGCAGCTAGCCATTTGGGTGGCAAGCTTTAAATACTCCACAAAACAACCCAAGATAAGAGAGACCCGTCCGAGATTCGATCCAAGGCCTCCGCTCCACAGTCCAGCATGCTACCAAGTGAGAAACGGAGCGCCTCTTTCTATTAATTATTACAACAATTCAACGCCAATCACAGATGGTAATAATCTTTCATTTTTCCAAACGATTTCTTAACTTGATTAATATACTTCAGGTGAACCCCAAGGCTTATATTAGAAAGATGAAGAAATATAATATTATGTAGCACTCGGATCAGGCAAATAGGTAAGCAAACACTCACACTGTCTTTATAAGGCGTCGTCACGCTACACACCGCCATTCTGGCTTCAGATTACAGCTATAATTGTAGACTTGAAGCCTTGGGGCCTACGCGCATTCGCTTCTCAAGATTTTTTTTGGGGTCATTACAGGTCTTAAATTGTCGCTTTGTGTTCGAGTAGTGATGACGATGATGATGATGATGATGATTGTGAACACTCCGATGATAATCATTTGTACGTTATAGTATCAAAGTCTGTAACACTCCACCATAGTTCTGGTCCATCTCTGACAATCTGAATAGTCTTGAAAACAAGACAACGTTAAAAAAAAGAATAGTTATTGACAAAGTGTTATTCATAAAGTGTTGAAAATGTCAATGTCAACACACAGCCTTCGACAGTGCAATCTATACATCTTGTACCAATCATACGACAGCACAATCTACATTTCTTGTACAAAGCCTTCGATGGTGCCATCAACATTAAATTTGTACCGAGCCTACGATAAGGCCTAGCGTAATTTACGTTTCTCACACCAAGCCTTCAAGCTTGAGTCATGTATAATCAGGATTTGAAGGACGGGGACTGGGCCAGGTAGTGACATTGAACTTTGTTGCCTTCTATTCTGTAGTGTAAATAAGGAAATAGGTCACACTACAGGTGCGCTAGTGTGCTGTCTTTGATGCTAGCGAAAACTGCACTGAGAAAGTGATGGATTCGTGTACCGAAGGGGTGAATAGTTTATCTTTCAATGAGAAGAGAAATGGGGAAGATAGGGTGGGGATGGGGCGTGTACTTACCTGAATCTGTAATAAACTTCCGTCACTGAGAAAGGAGGAATGTTAAGGTAATCGGTTTCAAAAACCCACAAAACACCGCTTTCTGTCTTTGCTGGAATACTAGAGACTCTATCACAAATTTATTAAGAAAGTTGTTCCTTCAACAGAAGAACAGCTCCATCCTCGAAAGAAAATAATTCAGTTTAGTTTCATTCATCGCAAGTCAACCTTGAGTCAGGACATTACAATTCGTTCCCAAGGCGAATAGCTGTGCTGTCGTTAATCAAGTAGGCCTACGTTGCTTGATATCATTTCTTCCCGAATGTAATACATAATTAAGGCATCGCATGGCTTTATATTAAGATACAGACTTCTTCACTTTTAACATTCTTCGTGTTCGTTTTGATAAAACAATTTCTCCTTGATCAAAACTAGTAGTAAAAGTTAAAACCGATATAAAAGAAAAACAGAAGTCAAGGGCCAAGTCTTTCCTCCCGGATGTTATTCTCCAACGAACACACTGTAGAATGAAGAATGAACAGTGAACAGCGGGCTGGAGGGAACAGGTCGTACAACAACAACAGATTCACGACTGGTCCCCCTTCCCTCGCAATTTGTTAAGGCTGAGTCGACCTGTGTGTGTGTGTGTGTGTGTGTGTGTGTGTGTGTGTGTGTGTGTGTGTGTGTGTGTGTGTGTATGTGTGTGTGTGTGCGTGCGTGTGTGTTAGTGTTCGTTGGCACGGCCACTTACCTGTACACACGTCCTATTATCGGTTGATCTCTGTTCCGCTTGAGCGCACAATCTTTCTGTCTCTCTCTGTCTCTCTGTTTCTCTCTCTCTCTCTCTCTCTCTCTCTCTCTCTCTCTCTCTCTCTCTCTCTCTCTGTGTGTGTGTGTGTGTGTGTGTGTGTGTGTGTGTGTTTGTGTCTTTCTTTCTCTCTCTCTCTCTTTTTTTTTTGGTAAGTGTTTTTTACGGCCCTCGCAACCGCATAGGGTCATATGAGCGCGCGGGACAAATTAAACTTTTTCAGTTCGTAGAAAATTGTGGATTGTGCCCGGGTGGCGGCTTAAGCCTACACTTATCTATTTTAGACCACCAAGGGATCTTTAACGAGCGCAACTTGCTCACAGGCCCTCCGAGATTTTTTGCCCTTGTCCGAGAAGGCTAGGAGCAGATCTTTCCTACCAGAAGATCGGGGATATGGCTGAAAGACCGCAGTAAGTTTAGTTTAGCACACGGTTTTACGGCGCTCGCAACTGCATAAGGTCATATGAGCGCTGACCGCAGTAAGGAGTCAAGGGGTAGCAGTAAAAAGGCTGCAGAAAGAGTCCGGGGACCAGAGGAGGGGGCAAAGGGGGTGAAGGGGTGGATGCAGAAAGAGGAGACGAAAGTAAACGACAGAACATTGCTAGAGAGCAGGAAAGAAGGTAAAAGGAGACAATTTTAGAGAAGAAAATGTTTCGGTCGTTACCCGGATTCGAACCAGGGACCTTTGAATGAGAGGACAACACCTTAACTTCAAGGCTACGAATGTCTGTCTGTCTGTCTGTCTGTCTGTCTGTCTGTCTGTCTGTCTGTCTGTCTGTCTCTCACTCACTCTCTCTCTCTCTCTCTCTCTCTCTCTCTCTCTCTCTCTCTCTCTCTCTCTCTTTGTCTTTTTCTCTCTGTCTCTGTCTTTCTCTGTCTGTCTTTCGTGCACAATCTCTTGTTTTTCTTTCTTCTCCCCCCCCCCCCCTGTTCTCTCTCTCTTTCTATCCCTTAGGCAAAGAATGCCCCCGCCCCAGGGGCGCCGCTTCGCCGAAACCATGGAGGAGCTATCGAAATTTACCACGAAATAACAGCCCTCTGCTAGATATCTAGTATCGATATACGTCTCCAAATTAAAAAAAAAAGAGACTTTAGGACTAGCCACTGAGTTATGGTTCTGTTGCTTTGCTTTCCCCTTTTTCTGTGCGCCCCTTCTTTCCCTGTATCACTGCAAAAACAAAAATCTGTAATAAAAAAAGGCTCCTAGACGAAAGTCCCCACTAAATTCTCTGTATCACTAAAGGTACAAAGAGTAGCACGTAAAAAAAACAACTACTCACAATCACACTTACTTCTCCTTTTACTGTATAGTTAATCCACATCAGCTCAAAGCACAACGAACTCGTGGTCAGTTGCTGCTTATCTCTTTTATCCAAGTTCTATAATTATGCTGAGTACCTAGTTTTGAGAAATTTGACATAAAACAGTTTGAGTTTCATAACACGTCAAGCTTTTCCGAAAGATTTTTAAAGTTTTAGTAGAGGTTATATGAACGCCAGAAGATTAGAGGTGTTACAAGAGAGTAACAAACATAAAAAGAGGGGAGATAAGGACGATAGATGTTTGATAGGAAAGAAGAAGCAAACCACACCAGAGCACCCGCCAACCACCCACTTTTCCGAATGTAATTCTTTGAATATCTTGACAACGACTCCGAATAATTTGGCCTCATGGTATAAGAAACTCAAATCGATCAGAAATATCAGATAGCGCTGTGTAATTCTAAGGTAGAGAAGCAGTCGTGCTTCAAGTCAACCGTGGGACGAAAATTTGTTTTTAGCCCAATACCCCGCATTAGTATCGACTCTACAATATTTCAAAGCAAAGGTAACTACTCTGTGGTAAGTTTCGGTAGCTACTCCGAGGTGTTTCATGCTTTGATCATACATCGAAAGGTGGATTATCGGTAGCTATTCCGTTGTGCAGCCTTCCTCTCTCACCCCCTCCCTCGTTCTCCACTGTTACTCTCAAGCTAACTTACTCTCTCTCTATCTCCCCCCCCCCTCTCTCTCTCTCCTCTCTCTCTCTCTCTCTCTCTCTCTCTCTCTCTCTCTCTCTCTCTCTCTCTCTCTCTCTCTCTCCTTCTCTCGCCTCTGCTTCTATCTCTTGTCTTTTTCTTAGCCAGAGTGTTCCACTCTTTCGGGGACAATGCGGGTGTGTGAGGGAGTTCAAATGTGCCTGGCAGAGGTGGGGGAGGAGGGGGTGGAGTTCGTGAACTCTGCAAGTCTATTATCTTAAATGCAGGTGCTTTCACACCTTCATCGACACAATTCAGACTATTTAGGAGGCGGGCTTCTGACCCTGTCTGCCAGGGGCAAACCGGGCTGAGAGGAATACATAATCCCTGCAGAAAGACCAAGATTCTCTTATAAAAACTATTCATACAGAGTCATATATGGGAGCCGAGCTCGGGTCTCCTGCATTTCGACGCAACCTATCTGACAGTTACTCCAGAAATGGTGGTCAAATCTTTTACGCTGGCACTAGAAATCTGCAATTAAAATTCTCTTGAAGCAACTGTGTGTCATCTGTGACGAGTGTGACTCTTCCACATGAAGCTTAGGTAACGTTAGAAACGTTGATTTACTCTGCAGGATGAGGAAATCACGCCATAAAACCCGCCAACCACACGCCCAGAGTCAGCATTTATACTTTTCAACTTCAGCGAGACATTCATTATCTGCCTGTTCTGGCAAGGTTGTTTCTGAACATGATCAGCTGACGTTTGGTAAGAATTTGAATCCCAGTGTCGTCCATTTTTGAAAACAAAAACCCCACACTCCAAAAATTATAGCTTCAAACCAATGCAATACACCTCGTCACAATAAAACAAAGTTTTCTTTTTCCTACTGGCTCTTTGTCGTTACCTATACAGAAGAAGTTGTGTGGCAAAGGCGCATTGTGCTTACTCGTGCATAACAGAAATATCAACACCAAAAACACACAACAAAAAATAAAGTAATAACACTGATGTTTATAATAGAAGTACTAATGATAATTTAACAAATAATA